AATCTACGAGACGTTCCTGGGGAATGCTGTTCCATTGTTATTCTAATGGAATGGACCATTTGGTTCACACCTTTATAGACACAGTTACATTATTTCTTTCACAGAATGACCAGCTGAATGTTAACCGATCAGGTTTCAGCAGCGACCAAATCATCAGTTCTTATTCTGCTGGATCTATCTGCCACTTTTGACACTGTGAATCATCAGATTCTCCTGTCTACCATCACAGGATCTGCACTCCACTGGTTTGAATCTTCTCACAGGTAGGTCTTTCAGGGTTTCCTAGTGAGGAGAGGTATCCAAAGAACATCAACTGGTCACAGGGTTTCCTCAGCCCGTTTCGGTGTACAAAGCTGAAGTGTGGCGTCATTTGGGCTTTTAACATCCACCGTGGGACCGTGGCGCGGGCGCCGCCTCGGTTCCGCCGCTTGCCGCGGGCAGTAGGGGCGCCACGTGGCTGCAGCATTCTCTCGTGGTGGGGGCATTTTGTGCAGTTGGGGTGGTGCTCGGCTCGTGTCGCGGTCTCCGCGATTCCATGCGGAACATAAATACAGATGTTAAACATTCTCAGAACCTCACTTGGATTTCACAGGTTTTTCGGTTTGTATTTATTTTATTGTTTTCAAATGGTTTTGTTTTTTTTAGAAATCCTGCAAGCACCTTATTTTTCATTGATATTAAGCAGATGTAATTCTTTTGTTCAGACCAAAATGTTATGACATTGTATGTTACAATTGTAAATTTAAAACGTGAACCTTTAAAGCAGGGCCTAAAAATATGTATGGTCTTTTTATAAAACACATATTATACATTTAAATAAAGGATCCTGCAAGCATAACATTTTCCCCCTTGACTCGTACTGCACAAAAAGTGGTTCAATAACGTTGAATGTTACAGGGACTGATTATTGCAAATGCAGATACCACTGTGTTCTGGTTAAATAATTTTTATTTGATTTATTTATTGCTAAGGTTTGCATATGGTGGTGTGTTCTTTATGACAGCTTTCCTAAAAAATATCCTATTCATAAAATAACAAATATCCCAATATACCGCCTTGCTTACAGTATCGCAACACTGGTTTGAATCTTATCTCACAGGTAGGTCTTTCAGGGTTTCCTAGTGAGGAGAGGTATCCAAAGAACATCAACTGGTCACAGGGTTTCCTCAGGGATCAGTTCTTGGACCCCTCCTATTCACCTTATACACATCACAGATTTCATCATCCTGCTAGGTTCATCAAAAAATATTCTTTGGTGACCAGCTGACCTTCAAGGACCATTTTGTAAAGACATCTCGATCATGCAGGTTTCAGAAAGGCATTTTCGTTCACTTTTCCTGGCTGGTGAAATTATCTTCCCACAATCGCAGTAATGAACAGAACACCCAACACATTATCTGACATCAACACTAATTTAATCCCATACCCGACACATTTTACATAAAAACTGGGACCCAAACTGCACCTGCATTAAATCTCCTACATGAGGTAGACAAAACTCATTTATTAAAACTTTTATTCAAATTGTGAATAGATTAAATACAGAAAGCAAGCAAAGAGCGCTACCTTTAATATAATCAAGTGGTTCAATAACGTTGAATGTTACAGGGACTGATTATTGCAAATGCAGATACCACTGTGTTCTGGTTAAATAATTTTTATTTGATTTATTTATTGCTAAGGTTTGCATATGGTGGTGTGTTCTTTATGACAGCTTTCCTAAAAAATATCCTATTCATAAAATAACAAATATCCCAATATACCGCCTTGCTTACAGTATCGCAATGTATTGCAACATATCACAACATATCCTATCACAACCCCTGTATTGTGATACGTATCGTATCGCCAGATTCTTGCCAATACACCGCCCTAGTGGTTGCCATGGCGACCATTTTACGTTCCGCCATAATCAAATTATGTATGTTGTGTCATATCTCCTGAACCAAACAAGATAACAGAGAAAAGGTGATGTCTACCCCTATGTTTTGATGGTCAAGGATTACAATGATACCGTATACAAAAACGTAAACTTTTACTTACTTTTACTTTTAGTCATTTAGCAGACGCTTTTATCCAAAGCGACTTACAAATAAGAAAAAGTAATTAAAACTAAAAGCTAAAACTCTATAAATACACCTGCATTAAATCTCCTACATGAGGTAGACAAAACTCATTTATTAAAACTTTTATTCAAATTGTGAATAGATTAAATACAGAAAGCAAGCAAAGAGCGCTACCTTTAATATAATCACTACAGCTGTCAATCAGTGGCAGATTGGCTACATTGCTCAGCGTGTACTGGACCGAGTCAAAATAGTCTTGGTTATTGGACCCGCAACCCGCCCGTGCTTGTCAACGTCCGGCTTGCACCTGCACCACACCCTACACATAAATATGAATCCACCCATTACATCAAATATTAGCGATTCACCTGCTTGTATGCCCGCATGCAGGACTCTGGCTTTCCCATTGTGTACAACATAATAGACAACTCTGGCCCCAGAGAGTGATTGTAAATTAAGTTTACATGAAATACGTTTGAAATTTCATTCTGCATCTTCTGAGATTTCATTGTGATCCTTCTCATAAAGTCACTAAATTAACCATTAACTGTTCACCTGATTGATCACGATTTCACCATTAACTCTTCACCTGAACAGTTTATGTTTTTGTATATGTATCATTGTAATTATTGAACATAAAAACATAGGGGTAGACATCACCTTTTCTGTGTTATGTTTGGTTTAAGAGATATGACACAAAATACATAATTTGGTTATGGCGGAAAGTAAAATAGTCGCCATGGCAGCCACGAGGTGTTTTTGCAATGGCTCCATTTCTGAAAATGTTTAGGGCTGTAAACTATACAAGTGTACCAAGTTTCATGCTTTTATGAAAAAGTAAACATTGCTTTCACATATCACCTGGACTATATATAAAAGTATGAGCGAGAACATGGAAACAGGAACATGAGAGACAGGAAACAATAAACAAGATAAGACTATTAATACGAACTTCAAAACAAACAAACTCAAACACATTATTTTAATGATGTTTTTAGTAGGAATTTTTTTTAAGTGATTTTCAATTATTATTATTATTCCTATTAGGATTATTATTAATATTAATACTACCCCTAAAAAAATTCAAATATGTACAGTAGAAAGCAAAGAAAAGCAGCCAAATGCAGTGTGAGAAAAACTTACTTGTTTTTATATTTATGATATTTTATGAGTTCATAAGTTTAAATTGTCACAAATCATTTTCAACATTCACACAAAGTCATTATCACTTGTGAGTTGCAAATTTCCTGACTAGGTGGTGGTTTTCTGGATTACATTTTGTTCATGGACTCTCAAGTTTTAGTTGGATATTTCCATATCAATATTTGCAGTGTTTATAAAACTAAACCTGAACGTCATTTCTAAATGTCGCTGAGATGCCAACATAACTGAATATTTGCCTTAATGCTGTGCAGCACAAGCATGCTGCTTTATGAAAAGTTGGTCTATGTTTATCCAAGTAATAACTGTTGAAAGGTGAGTTCTTAATCCAGCCATCAGAGTTTTACATTCTCTTCTGAAATGCTCTTTGGAGTGAGAACAAGGCTTTCTTCTTTCATCTCTCTGCATGTCTCGGGATCACTTGTACCCTTTGTCATCCTTTCCTGGTCCTCTTCAATAGTGCCTCAGGAATTCTGCACCGCTACACTCTGGCCCACACAATACCATTCTGTTTAGCATTCAAAGGGGCAGAAAGGAAAGGGCAGGGCAAAAAGAAATAAGCCCAGTTGAGTTTTAGGGAGCGAGGAGAATGGGAGCTGTGAAAAGTTCACGTCAGAGCTGGTTTTAAAGAGCTGCTCTCAGAGGCTTTAAAAGAATGAGGAGCACAGTGAAAAATGGCCCACCGAGGGTTGAAGGCAGCGTGGTGGCTGTTGAGGTGAATGAACTGTCAGGATGGGACCTGCCTCTCCCTCAGACACTTTCACAGGGACGAAGACTGATAGAAGGAGAAAAGAATGGGCAATAGGGAGCACAGGGAGGAGAAGTGAGAGGAGAAGAGAATACAAGAGGAAGTACAAGGAACAACTGACAGAAAGAGAGACTTGAAGATGGATGAGGACAAACCAACAGAAGCCAGAGTAAGGGCTCAAAATTCAGTGTAAAGATGCAATGCCTTATCAAAGCCATCAAAGACTGATACTTAGGGGCTGAGGTGGGTCTGAGCAGGCATTATTCAAAGTATACAGTTGTAATTGCTGTGTACATGCATTTATGCCATCTCTGAGCACCATTAAACAGTATGTAGACACCTAAATGCCACTTCAGAAGCGCTTCTGTGCCATCTTTGCAATGTAAATTTGACACTAGTTTTACAAAATAATGCATAGTATTTATATAAATATTACAAATAATATTAATAATGTTACAAATATGCTTATTTTTATTAAAGACAACAATCCATTATAAATAATGGTTACTATGCCCCATGACTAATACATTAATTTGTCAAGAAATGTAAAACATTTAATGAATTAAATTAATTAATTAATGAATGAAATGAAAATAAAATAAACAATATACTGACTTCGTTTGTATTCAATGCTTTCTTCAGCCACAAAAATGTAATGTCTTTAAATTTTCTTAATTTTAGTGCTTTTCTCAGAAATATTGATATATTAACATATTAAATATATATATTAATATTAACATATGAAAATATGTTATAAAAATGTACATATTATATAATTAATATAACTATTAATAAATTATAATATAATAAATTATAAATATGAATAAAATCAATCTATAATTAAATTATTTTATATAAAGGATTTAGTTAATTTATGTAATTTTTTTTTACTTAAAGTTTTAGTAATTTTTTTTTTTTGTT